AGGTAACATGTCGTGCAGTCCTCTCGAGCGTTAAACAGGAAAGTTAAAGGGGTCGGAAAGCTCTCGGCTTTAGGACAACGTAACGGGTCGGAGATCATCCTGTATGATAAGGCCCCCGTTGACGAGACTTGTCCGTGTTGTAGTATGACTTTGTACCGTCGTGTAACGTCGCCGGTAACATCATTGCTGACAAAGCCGTCTCCCTTAACAGGCGTACAAGGTTGTACACCTGTTGTAATTGCATTAGAATTTTAATTAACTAATGTAGCCTCGTATGAGTAACGTACCGTTAAATTCGCACGATACCATCGACCGTGATCGCACTATTTTACTACAATAATTACCCGATAATGTTTAGCATTAGACACGCGGGGATAATTACTGACCGACATTTCGAAAATTGAAATATTCTATTTCTGACAACGCATGATGATTTCCAACGGGAATAGTAATTGATTGGCACATCATCGAATAGTCTAACGAACTTAATTAGAATCATTAAATCTTTTTGATGCGAAAATTTCAATGTTGTTAAGAATAAATCACATTGCAGAATAATTAAAATTAATTCATCAAGATTGATGGATTATTAAATCCATCAATCAAAGATTGTTTAAAAGAATGTTTAGTTTCGAATATGCTATATCTATTGAGCGTACATAGATAAATAATGAAATAAAGTAATACGTAAATGCAACGGCTAATTAAACAATGCTTCAAATTACCCGAGAGCTAAACGAAATCCATTGTGCTGCCATATAAATAAATGTTTGATACGCATTGCAGTAACAATATAAAAGGTACAATATAAAACTACAGTACAATATACTACAATACATTGTAAAGTATAATGCGCATTGCAGTAACGCATAAAGTGGTATAGTAAAATACGGTATACTATAAAGTGCCGGAAAGGGGAAAACTACGTCAACCAGAAAAAAAAGGGGGGAAAACTAGATGGAAAAGAAACCAAAATCAGGTCAAATATAAAGAGCGGAGTATCAACGGGTGAAAAAGATAAAAAAAAATGTTCAATCTAACTGCTTCTGTACCCTTTCGAGATCGTCGTCGTGTAGCTTCTCTGAAAATCGAGAAAATTATCCTGCTCGTGAAAGAGTTGAAAGAGTTGGGACGAGTTGCGGCACAAGTGCGTGCTCATGTCATTTCACCCCCCGACGGGAGGTTAGTAAGGGGCGCCGACTCGGTCAACCACTCGACCGAGCCGAGAGGAATGGCGCGGCGCGGCGCGGCGGTCCGGTCGATAGGTCACGGCACGAAGGTGAAGTGTGTGCAAACATAATTTCGGTAGTGCTTCGAAGTGAAAGCTTTCATATCGGGCGACGGGCAAAAGCGAACGTCTCGTTCGCGGGATTGGCTGGCTGGCTAACTCGCGTGTCGCGTCGCGTCGCGTTGTGTCTCGTAATGTCACGATCGATAATTGATTAAATCCTAAGAATGTCAAATATTCGCCCGCCTTCCGATACCATTGACGGAAGGAAGTTTCTCACGCGTTTATCCACGAAACATACCTTCGCGCGGCGGCCGTAAGTTCGAGACGTAGGACAGGGTAGGGTGTTCCAGGTCGGCGTGAGATATTCGGCCGGGATAAAATATCTCTCCCGTCGAAAAGATTAATGAACGGCTAACTTTCGCGTTAATGCCTCTTTCCCTTACAATTCGGTCGCGATTGGACTGCTGATAAATTGAATACCCCTGAATCGGTAATGAATCTTATTGTATTCACACCTAGACCTGCCGAGCTTTAATGGTGAACAAAAACTCTTAGCGTTAATTGTATCTAGATATATAGATAGTAAGAACAATAATCCCGAGTCTCTAAAAGCTGGAAATATCTTCTAAATGTTTTAATTAAGCTATAATATCCGACTTGAAAATTTAGTTAACAAGTTTATTATATTTTTACGTACATAATAAATGCTGCAAGTTAATAGCTTTTTACAGTAAAACTGTATTATCGTGATTGCAAATTTGTATCGCTCTCATTCCATGATATCAATTATTACTACGTATTAAAAATTATTTGATTTGCTAACAATCTCTGTAAAATTTCTGTACACTTATATACCGAGTAAACATGAAAAACGTAATTTTTATATTTTACGTATTTTTAATACAATCTGATTGTCTAAAAATAAATCTTTCGAACATCTTGACTTTACGAAAACTATACAGTTGATCGCCCTTACCGCCCCGAACATATGCGTACTTTCGCATAACACGCACGAGTATTTTGAGAACGTTGTGTTAAATAAATAAAAAAGTTAACTCGAGTACGACAGAAAAGTCGATGAAACTTTTCGTTTCCCCTTTTCCCACTCACCCTTGAGTTCCATGTCCGTGACCTGATTCGCTTTGTAAGTGGCCGTCTCCCTGCGGTCGCCGACGATGAAGTAAATATTGGTGTACTCCTCGTTGTCGTTGCTGCCGGTTCCGTTCCTCGCCTCGTGGTCCATGGCCACGCGGATAGTTTCGGCCTTGAACCGCCTACCGCTCCTCGTCGCTCGGCCTCGTTGATGCAGTTTTCGAGACTACCCGGCCTTGGTATTACGCGGGGCTGTCGGGGCACAAAGGTGAAAGACTTAGGCACGAAAACGTCGCCACTCGCATTAACAATGCTCTTCTGCCTGTTTGTCGTGCTTTTGTAACGCAAATATAGCGCTCGCTAGGCACGAAGAAGAAGCAATGTTACTTCGAGCACCAGTGTTCTCGCGCTCGTGATTATACGTTTCGTTACTATCCCCTTATTACGCAAAAATCGAAAGGATAAATGGATCAATAATATCTTAAGGTTGCTCGGTTTGAAGTTTGATGTATAATCAACGTAGTATTCCATCTTACACGAGATAATCTCTACACGCCAAACAAAATAAAAAATGATAACTTATCCGGGGATAACTTAATTTTTAAAAATATATCTCTTTCAACCACCTAACGTATCAATATTAGAAATATTTGTCAAACTAAAAACTTATCCGAATATAATTTAACTAAAAATGTGACACAAATTCTTTCAATCATCTAAAGTGTCAATTAAAGGAATATTTAACGAACTGGAAATTATCCAAAGGCAGAGTGTCGCTTTCGCGTAGAAAGATGGTAGATAGAACGTCAATTACTTAAAAATTATTTCTTTCAAGAAGATACTTCTGTTAAAAATAAAACGTCGCATATAAGTCGCAAAAATAATTAAGAGCTGAATATCAAAACAAAATTTTTCTTAATTAAAAAAGAGAAGAGGAAGAAATAGATGCACGGGTTAAGGACACTCTCGAGAAGTTTCAAGACCGTCTTACCTTTGGTCGGGTGTGGAGGGGTAGCAGCACCCTCGGCGAGCTCATCGTCGCATCGCCGGCCCGGCGGCGGCAACGACCGGGCCACCCTCGATTATCGCACCTATCGAGCTCGTGTCTGCTGTCACACGCGACACCTGCCGCTTGCTTCGGGATTGGACGTACCGGGAACTCGTCGACAACGACGACCGACGATGAGGTGCAAGCGTGGCCGACCGCTCGTCTAGTACCAGCCGGCACCGCGTTTCCTCATGTTCCATCCTGCAACAGAAGGATCAAGTATATGTTTAATTTCGGCAGTGGGAATGATATTGTATGCAACGCAATCAATCTTCATAAAATTTATGATAGAATAGGAAATAATCTGATTTCAACTGGGCGATTAGCGAAGAAGTTCCTTTTCTCCTTGCGCTTGTATAACTTATTTTGGAATTACGCTTAAGATCAAAATTATCTTCGACTTTGTTGGAAATTAAAATCAGAAGCGAATAGAATCAAATATTGTCCGTGGAGTTTTTCGGTAATTTTTCATCGGTGTACAAATTAGGGTAAAGACGTGTCGAAATTGCAGGTAAACATGCACATTACCAGAGCGGGATGCACACCTGCGTCAAGATACGAAATGTGTTTATTGCTTTTGACTTCGCGAAGCGAAAGTGTTCTGATTACAGGGTACGTCGCGGACTTTCCCCGACGACGGTACGCAAAGTACGGGTTGCGCTGTAACCGCTGCCGTGCCGGAAATATATATGTAGTTATGCACGAAGTGAAATGCATTTATCGTAAGAACTAGCAGCAAAATTCGAGAAATCACGTTGCGAGTCAAACGCTAAACGACTCGCTCCTTTTATTCGTCTAATAAAAATGAAAATTAAAAACACCGTGTTATATTACAGTACAGATTAATAGAGAGCGAAAAGTTTTTATAATTATTACATTCTTTTTCGTTTGGTTGACTCGTACTTTCTAGCGCGAAGAAGAATTTGAGAAAATCAGGAAACACAAAATTCACTCTCCTGCTTAAACGACTCCATCGAGTTTTCTTTGCTCAGAACAGCTCAGAACAGCTTTGCTCTTCCAACGACGCATTTCTATTCAGGATTAAAGAAAGCACTTTTACAATTCCGTCATGATGAGAGTGAAAAAAGTCACGAAAAATGCGCGACTTTTTTTAGACAGGGCGACGTTTCGGGGATAAATCGCCGTCGGAATACCATCACATATACGAAGACGGGGAGAGCTTTCGATTCTCGAGGAAAAAAATTTCCATCCCCTCGGTTGTCTTTATCTGCTTTCTCTCGTCGCTCCTGCCACGCCCAGGTAGAACTCGTGGGCGTGAGAAATTTACGATTTCTTTGCCCAAGGTCGCCGGTGGAAATTAGAAGCCGCGATATAGCCGGTGCCACCCTCGGCACTTACCACCCCGAATTACGTCAGGCGTCGCCTCGAAAGAGAAGAGCGATGCCATAAATTTATAACATCTTCGTGAATTTGCCGTGAGCATCATTCTTCATCATGCTGATATCACTACGAGATATTAAAACAGTTGGTATCGTCAGTATATACAAATATCGATTTTTCCATTAAGTATGCGTGCCAGAAGATTTCTATCGAAAATTCTAGGGGGGCGTGGTTCTTAATAATCTGAAATCAACATTTCTATGGCAAAAATGCAACGCTAATTTTAATCTGAAAAAAATTTAATCTAATTATAATTCGAAAGTTATATTAAATATTTTAAAGATATTGCATAACTTCAGACAGATAACAAATCGCAATTGCAAAATAAACCAAAATTTATTTAATCATTAAAATAAAATCACAAGGGTTCACTTTTAAGAAAGATAATTAGTCTTTAAGAACCACATGTTGATGTTTAACGCAGTTTAAGCAAATTATCGGTTAAGTTAAATTTGCTTGCAACCGTCTTCCATCCTCGAGTACCTCGAGGGTATGTACGAGGTAAAAAGACGTGGGATGGTCGAAAGGGAGTAATCATTCCTCAGCAAAGTGGCTAACTATGACGCGTAATATCCGCGTGACTTTAGACTTCAGCTTTCAGCAAATTTCTACTCTGTGAGACAAGCCGAGTCAGCGAAGAAAATCGTGGCGTCTAATTGGATCAGTATCGAATGCTTTTTCTCCCGCAGGAAGCGCAAAAAACAGACTAATAGTGACGTGTCACCAATTTCCGCACTGCTTGTTATTCTCTACAGTCGTGATAGTAATTTGCGATATAATGACATGTCGTTCATTAGGAGCGTCGAAAGTGTTATTTAATTAAACCAGCTCGAATATAATAAAAAATAGAGACGGTAAAAAACACCGAAACTATTCAAATCAAAATGATCGCATAAAAATTACGGTGAATTATTTCACAAACGTTTTAATTTATATACTTTCTCTTGAGTGCAATATTTTATGTAAAGATGGATTTTTATGTTTTTATGGCTCTATCAATGTATATTACATGTATCTATCAATATGTACAATGTACATTGTACGCATATATTTAACAAGCCTATTAAACAGAATCTTTTTTCCATAAATTTAATAATTTGAATAATGCACACAGGAAAGGGTTTAAATTAAAACTAACTTTTTTACATTAAAATTAAAGTACAGCGATTGTCATTGCACGAATAAACACTTCGGTTTGCATCTGAGCTCCTATCGTACGATATCGCATCACTTTCTTTATACGGTAATCTTTTCCAGCCGGTTGAAACCAGCTCGAATAAAAGCTCGACGGCGCGACGCCGACGTTCGTAACGTATCAAAGCTGAATAAAATCTGTCCGTGCAGCGGGGTGGGATCTGTCCTGACGCCGGCGGCCGTCATGACGATAATTGGATTGCACTAGTCAGTTTTATACGCGATAACGCCGCAAGACGCGCGGGGGAACATAATCGAATGAGATGCACCGGATATGCATTGACGGCGAGGTCGACGGAAAATGTCGCGAACGTCGAAAGACCGTAAACCAATCAGCATTCGTGATGGAGATTCGTGGGAAGTAACGCGTCGGTTGGACTGATCGTAAAGGATTTTTCGCGATTCCCTCGGAAGAGAGAAGCCGTCGTGATCGTTTCCTCGATAATTTACCGCGGCTGGGAGGAACTTTGAAACGTATAGTCGAGGAAGAGAAAGAAAGAAAGAGAAATTTGGTTATACGAATGAACACTCGCGCGTGTCCCACGCGTTCGGGGATTCTCCTAACGAAGGATTGTCACACGGTGAATGGTTCGCAGATTTGCATTCGAAAAGTTCGCTCGACGCTCTGCGGCCTATACTCGTCCGTTCTACTCGAAATTATGAAGCGCGATAATTGAAATGCCATGTCTTTTATTTATTCAGAGACGCGCAGTGGACTGCTATATTGTCACGTTTCTGCCGTGGAAGCTTTAATCGCTACGGGATTACTTTTATTGAATTTATATACTGTCCTTATTTTCCCCATGTTTTTGTTTTCCCTTCGGAAACACAGCACGTACGTACATACATACATGAATTGAAACGTCAACTTCTCGTTTATTTCTTTTTTTTTAGCTCGGATATAACCGATGTGTAGCCATCTCTTGATTCACGTTGCAGATTTTTTTTTAGAACGGATGTTGCGGTACGAATAGCACAAAGTAACGGAATATGAAAAAAAATCCACGAAGCGAATCCTCCTATTTAACTGAATGATTTTTTAGGGATTTTCAGCATGCGAGCGATAGAACCATGCATGAAATACATATACAACGTAAATACTTAAGAAATAGATGTACATTCTTGCGCGATATATATAAAAAAAATTATAATGTCAGACTATTTTTATGTTTTTTCTTGTTTATTATAGAAAAAAAGTAGAAATTAAAAATATTTTCTTCTCCTGGAACGATCGATTCTTTGACAAATGATCAAGCTAGCGTCCAGAGATCTGCAATTGTTTGCAGATTATATATCAACGGACATGCATTTCTCTTATCTCCTTTTTGATTACGCTTTCGTTTTTCAACCACGAGGTAGTGTGTCGCAGAAAAGCAAAATAGGCCGTAAATAGGTTATCAGGTGACATTAGTCGGAGCTGCGTAGCGTTATGCGATCAATCGGCTTTGAGGCATGCACACACAACCACGATGATTATTAATCCCGGCAAAGGGGGGTTTTACTGACGCAACGGGATTAAAACTCGATTCACCCGCACGTACGCAGCTGTCCCCTCGATGGCAAAGGATTGCATTGGATATTCATATGCGTCCTTTAAAATAAATACCAGGGACAGAGACGTCAAACGAAATTACATTTCTAACAATAACAGCGGCGATAAAAAAATTTTTTTTACGCCGCGCGCTTTGCATCCCGGTAATAACGAAATATTTTTATGCAAATGCACGTGGAAATCTGGTACGTACAGATCATTGTGATCAAAATTTGATTGATTATTTCCCTTGGTGATTCCAAATTTCATCCCGCGAATGGAGTTCCCAGTTCCAGTTTAATTTTGACCCGTGCCGTGGCACGTTTGTGGCGCGGTCGTGTAGCACGATCCTTTTTAATCTGTTTTCCATTTTCCAATTTTCGAGAATGCGGCTCGGTGTTTTACATGGCGCAATTGTTGCCAGTATGTCACGCCTGCGCCGTATTTGCGGCAAGTTACAATCGATAGCGTGTGTCGCGACCGAGTTTATCGAGAGATCAACGTGATGTACGTCGTTAAAAATGATCGACTTTCCACCCATTCACAAACAATTGCGATTTTTGCTGCTACAGATCCGCTGATGTTATTACGTTCTTTACAACTTGGACTAAACAATATATGTGTTAATAAAAATTTGGAATTATTCCATTACGCAACGTGCTTTTGAATTGAAAGCGCGATATTACTTAGGTTTTTATTTTAAAAAATCTACGAATAAGTAACTAAATAATGTAATAATTTCCTATTTGTTAATTTGTCAGATATTAAGTTACTTCTTCCAATTAAAATTAAATGTTGACTTGT